GTTAGTCAGCTTCAGCCTGACATTGAGAGGCTGGTCAAAGCCAAAGACCAGCTTCATGTGTCTCACTAATAGTGTCAAACTGCTGCTGTTTGCTGTTAATATGGACATAATTTGTGGCTAAATAAAGATTCATTTGCTTTGTATTTGCTTCCTGTTCTTTGTACAAAGAGTGAAATGTTGAATACCTTTATAATAAACCCATTTCAATCAGAAAGTGCACCCCCCCCGCATTTTCATTTTGGCCCTCCGAGGGGAAAAGTTTGGGCACCCCTGCAGTATAGACTGTAACTCGCTGGACTACATGTACTAAGCAGGAATTGGAAAACCCAGTGTTTCTCAAACCGGTTCTGAAGTTTTCCAGCTCCTGCCCAGTACGTGAATAGGCCTAGTGAGTTGCACTGTAGGCAGCAACTTTGAGGTCCATCTATATTTGTTTACATTTTGGGACATTAATTTTATGCCATATTAGTTATTAACAGTTCACTTTAGCTGTGCACTATTGGATGTACTGACAACTATCACAGAATTACTTTGATACTAAAGAATTTGTTAAAACCTGATGATTTTTAGGCAAGTTCTGCAGCGCTCCATCCCCTGCATTATCATAATTAGGAGATCCTGATCTCATAATTCTCAGGATCTCAAAATTATGAGATGTTATTTCTTAGGGCTTAGCTAACTGTAACTAAATATAATTCTGACCTCGTAATTGAGATTTTCTCGTAATAAGATCCTCCAGTTTTCTTTTGCTGAATGCAATGCGCTGCGGTAGGTAACAGCTGAGCTCCTGTTTCCTGTGAGTTTATTACAAAGGATTTTTTTAAAAGACTATGGTCTGTGAAGAGGTATGCATCAACAATTATGGGTTTACACCAATCACAGCAATCGCTATAATATATACAGTATATGTTCTATTTATTGTTCTACTCAGTTTTATATTTAACTTTTTCTATTGTTAGTACATTAGTCTTGAAAAAAAAAGTTATTTCTTAGGGCTGAGATGGAAAAAGGCACCTCAAGAAACAAAAATGGCTGAAGAATGTAGGAGGGAAAGCAGATAGCCTTCCTGCTCCACTGTTTATTTATTGTAAATGTTTTTGTGTTGTTTGTGACCAAACTGTGACAGCCAAGTGGTGACGGGACACATTAGAGACAGATTAGAGTTTAAGGAAAAATAGGATTTCCAAATCATCCCGCAGGTGTTAGGTATGAAGGCCCATCTCACATCATTTTTATATTGTCACAAATTGTCCTCATTTTTAATCTTGCCACAGGTGTGTGCTGGTGAAAGCTGAGGCGGAGTTCAGACAGACAGAGGGAGAGAGAGAGAGAGACAAAGTGGATGTTGAGCAGAAAGAAAACAAGTGCAGCACAGAAGTTTGACTGTAAAGAGGAAGATCTAGTGCCAAACTACATACAAGTGCTACTGTTTACTGTAAGTGTGTTGAGATAGAGTAGAGAAGAAAGTCAGATGAGAGGAATAAGAGTGTTTGGATACGAGTTTGTAAGGTCAGTCGGCGTTTTCCTGTCAGTTTAGAGAGTGGGAATGCTCAGTCAGCTCCCAACCACCGAATAATCCCTGCAGTCTACTCTGTCTTTAATGTAATGCCGTCACTTCTTTGGTCTGGACTTTGTGGTCGTTGTTACGTCTTCCAGTCTGACCAACGAGATTTAAAATCCCCTCTATGTCTTCAAACGCCAGGTAAGCCTTATGGTTCAGCTCAGAAAAAGTCAACAAAAAACAAAAACTTGACATCATAAAAGAGAGAGACCAGATGTTTGAAATCTCAACAGCATCTAAAAATATTTGTCACCTTCGATATCTGGATGACGCGCATTAAAGAGGAGCACCAGGGGATGCTCTTATTAGCCACAGACTATTGTATTCCAGTATATTTATTTGAATGTTTTATCATGGATGGATAACTTGAATTTATTTTCTATTTATTTGTTGTCGTTTTGTTTGGATTGTAGTCACGTTTCACTCTGTAGTTTCAAGTCTTCAGATGCTTTGTTCTACAAGTAAACGCTGCCTTTTTTTTCTTTACAGAGCTCTTGTATGCCACAGTACCTGTTTTTCCGCTGCTCCATATGCTTTACTCTTGCGTATCCATTAAAATGCTATCAGCTAGCAAAGGCGCTTTATGGCAGAAGGTATAAAAGGATGGCGTTGGCCTGCATGCTGTAGTCCTCCTCTGTCTGCACTACTAGGCCTGAGTCAAAGTGACACTCAGAACTCTTATGAAAAATACTTCTGTGATCGATTGAGCCTGTCTGGCACAGCTGAAACAGTCGGCTGGTTCAAAATGAGTATAAATCCCACCCAGCTGGCAGCCTCAACAGGCTCAAGCAAACACTCCCAAGTATTTGGAAGGACTTCAGCTTTGATTTGACCCAGGTCTGTGAGCGACTGAGGAGTTCTTAGCTGTATGAGCACGCTTAACACCAGAATCATTAGAAACCAGAGTTCATAATATACTGCTTTGTAGCCTTGGCCACAGCACTTTCACATCCATCACGTCTATATGATTCAGAGGAATCTGATTCAGCCCTGCTATAAAGGAAGACTCTTAGCTTATTTTTATGTTTCTAAAAAAAAATAAGGATTTTTTTAAGTCGCATATCTCCCCCTACATACACCTGCTTAGATGCTGCTGTGATCTCTAGAGTTGGCGAGAGCTGGGTGATTGTGTCCCATATGCCAGAGACGAGTCGGTGCTGTCACTGCAGGGTGAGTCGGCTGCGCACCAGGCTCAGGGGAAACGTTCAGTAAATTGGTCAGTGTTAAAATGGTCACTGAAAATGAAATGCTAAAAATCCACTGATGTCACTGACTCATCCTCTTTGTGTTGACAAGTTTTCTCTCCAGCTCTCCTTGTTCAACCCTCTAAAGAATTAAGTTCATTTAACGGTGGCAACAATGCCAGAGGCTGATTCGAACATCAGAAATCAAGGTGGCGCTCATTAATCCTCCTCATCGATGTGGGCTTACCTTTAAAGACTATAAATCAGTTGTGGGCACATGTTAGTAATTTAACTTGGCCTCAGTTGTCATCACTAAACTGGATGTGGAAATTCAGTTTCAGCCTCCTCACAGCTGAACTGGTGCCCTTGACTGGTGTGAATCGATATCTGACGCTGCACTGACAGTGTCACAAACTGTTAAAGCTGCTACTATTTGTACCACACATCTATCACAACAGGTCCGACTCCAGTAGTATTTGAATATGAAATCCTTTCAGACTTCAGCTGCTCTGTACTGATCTTGTTCGTTGTTACTGAACCGAACGGTGTCAGCCAAAAATCGCTCGCTGCGCTCTGCCTGGCATTTAATACAAGCAAACAGCTCAAGTGTTTGAAAGGATTTCTTAAAGTTCTGACCTCGTGGCTGCGGCAGAATCCCTCCCCTCTCTTCTCTGTGGTACTAGTCCACTATCATTATGGTTATTAACATGAACAAGCATGAGATGCATTTATTTATAAACAGCAAACAAAAAACTGCAAACATGCAAATATTACAAAGTGTAAGTGAGTTTTAATGTCATGTCCATCTACTGTAGCTTTACAGTTGTGTGAGACATTTCTGGACAGCAGAGCAGACCCCAGTTCCCTGAAGTCAGCTCTGCTCTGTGAAATGTCAGCAGAGCAGAGCTGACGTTGAGTCTGAGATGGTGTCAGGGAAACTGCAGATCCAGAAAGCTTCACAGAAAAGCAGATCAAACAGCCTTTTTCTGTCCCTCATGCCGTCAGGATGCAGTGGTGCTGGCCGGTGCAGCCGCGGGGATGTGAAAAGTTACCATCAACTGGAAGCTGTTTTTTACACTGTACGTCCTTAGTATTTTTACACACAAAATGTATATGATAGGGATGCGCATTATTTTCCTTCTGACAGACAGCTTCAATAAAGCACTATGTCAATCTGCTGCCATGGTATCGACTTTTTGTTTGCTTTGTGGCCATCGACAAAATTTCTTCTGAACTTTCATTTCAGTGACAATAAAACATGAAACCAGAAATACACTGACCGGCCACTTTATTAGGTACACCTGTATGTAATTCAATGCAGCACTTCCACTTTAATGTCTGTGTTTATGAAGCTCAAAATGTTTGTTTTTGGTGAAACTGTCAAAGGTATAAATTCAATTATATGTTTATTATTGAGGTTTTCTATTCTGAAAAAACAAAGCAAATCAAGGAGCTTGGTGCTACATTTCTATTACATGGATTATATAAAATTCTCTTCCCTAGTATTGAAACAATAATTTAGGCAACTAAAAAAAAAAGCTCACATCCTAGTACCTCCAACCACTAAGTACATCATCAGTCACAGTAACACACTACTGGCAAAAGTAAAACATAATATGAAAACATGAGTCTCAGTTCTAATAACTCAAATAACAAATAGTTTTATACAGTGTACAAAAAGTATGTTCCTGTCACCCTCAGTTTAAAGTTGTTGTACAGGAGATTACTCACAGTGAAAACCTAGAGATCCACACAGAGCAGAGGTGATGAGGAGGAAACGGCCCGACTCACGTGGACGGAGCCACAGTTCTTTTTGTGCTGGGGAGCTACAGCAGAAAGAAACACACAACATTCAATACAACCAGTTGAACACACATAACCTCTCAGATGATGAATCAGAACAGACTATGTTTTTCAGCAGAACCAGACAGAATCATTAGTCATGAAGGCACAAATGTCTTCTTACTGATTTATTTTAGTAAACTGACAACGATAATGTGCTCCCGGAGAGAAAAGACATCACAAATTCATTTAGTAAGGGAAAAGTGAGTCGCAACCTCTTCTTTCTGCATATGTGTGTGTGTGTGTGTGTGTGTGTGTGTGTGTGTGTGTGTGTGTGTGTACCTCAATGCGTAGGTTCTGCATCTCCTCGGTGAGTGTGTTTCTCTCCTGCATCAGCTGGTTCTGTTTGGCCAGCAGCTCACACACCTGCTGGGCACTGTTCTGACAGTAACGGTCCAACTGCTGCAGCCTGCACCATGCACACACACACAATATTGACTGAAACTGTGTGAGAGGAACATACCCGCCTTGCTGATACAAAACCAAATGTTGTAAATATTGAAAGAGAACTAGATCCACAAAGAGCTTTTAATATCACCGGACTATGTGTTGATCAAATAATCAACACTGTTTACTGTACATGAATGTGCACAGCTGTGCATGTTTTCTACTGTGAGTGCAGACAATGAGATGATGTGATAACACTGAACCCAGATGTGGCCAGATGTAAATGAACCACATACTGATGCTTAGTGATTCTAGACACATCTAATCCACTGTTGAGGTCCATCTGAAATAAGGCACCAGAATCTACAGCTGTCAGATGATGTAGCAGAGTAAAAAGTACAATATTACTCCAAAACAGTGAAGTAGAGCCAAAAAGTTATAAGAAATAAAGTACAGTACTTCAGTAAATATCAGTCTCCTTCAATCTGAATAATTTCAAAGACTGCACTGTGGCTTTTTTCACTGAAATGTCTCGGTTACTGATCTTTACTCTGAACAGATGTATCCAAAACTTTCTCCATGTCGGATACTACAACAGAGATAAATTTACGGTGATATATTTGACACATCAACAACACGAGCAAAATAGGTGACGGTCCACATGTGAGGGTTCAAAGACGGGTAACGACGCTCACCGATACCGGACTACAATGACTCAGTTGTTAGGGGACATTGTTGGCCACCAAAGAACCGGAACCACAACATATCAGTTGTTAGGTGACATTGTCGGCTGTCGAAGGACTGAAACACCACCCAGGGGGATAAATACCTCCTGCTCAACACCAGTCGGACAGAACTGATGAAGCCTCTTGGAAGAGAGGTGAAACGTCTTCTACCTAAAACCAAGTCCAGATGATTTTTTTCTACATGTTTTTTCAGCATACTACGACCTGGATGACTGAGAATTTGCACAAACAACACGAGCAGACGACGTGCTGACCGGTGCTTTGTTTTCAGGAGAGCTTGTTTTGTTTCCACGTCTATGTGTGGACTCACACCGCCAAACGTCACCCTGTGGTTCTTGTCAAACAGTCTGGGCACAAAGTTGTGCGAGTGTTGTGTCCCACTATGAAGAAAAGTGTTGATCATTACCGGGACGTCCCAATTAGTGCGTCCCCTCTGGCACAGCCGCTCCGGCACACAATGAACTCTTTCACTGCACACGAGTTCGACACCGCATGTGTGTGAGAGAGTGTTTGTGTTAGGGAGGCGGTGTTTTCCAGCTGGAGTTTGGGGAGGTGTGTGTTGAGGTGGAACATTTTGCTCAGATATTTTCCATCAGCAGCCCGTTGTTTCATCCATCACCTCCCCTCCACTGCAGCGGTGAGTTCATGCACCCCCACCCCACCCGTTTTTGAGAGCAGAATCCACATTTGCATACTCATTCAGTCCGATTTCTCTGCCTCACACAAACAATTGTAAAGCTGTTTTTGTCTATCGAGCAGGAACACAACACAAGATAGAAATAACTGCGTGTACAACAGTACTTTGACGCTGTCAACAACAAAGTGACTACATGCATTTACTCATTTACTGAGGTACTTTGCTTGCTACTTTATTCAACTATATTTTAGAAGGCGATACTGTACTCTTTACCCAACTATGCTTATTTAACAGATGCAGTAGATACTAGTTACTTTACTTGTAGTTTTACATTTAAAAACATGCATTATCACAGATTAAACCTGTGGTTGTCAGTCATCTTGGCTTTAGACCCTTTATTAAAAAAAGTTTAGATGTTTTGAGTTGTTTAAAGTTAATTTAAAGAAAAATACTTTAAATATTTTACAATTTTTCAGAAGTTTGAGACTCAAAGCTAAAATTGGAATCCAAAAACTAAATACAAACTTTTTTGTTTGTTTGTTTCTTTTTTTTTTTCTCCATTAATCTTTTCACAAACCCTCTGAAGGGTCCAGGCTTTAGGTTGGAAACCACAGGGCTACATTACCAAACTGTATATAAAGTTGTTAGAAGTATCTGCACCTGGATCAGGTGTAACACTAAAATACTGATTACAGAGTGATGTGTTCTTCTGCAATTTAAGTTCATTTGACTGAAAAGACCTTTATTTAGGTGGGGTATTTTTACATTTTGGTATTAAAGGATCCGAGTACTTCTTTTACTACTGTCTCACAAACACGTTACAGTACATTAGTGTTTCCCAACCTGGGGATCGGGACCCTGCTGAGTTACAAGGTGAAGAAAAAACTTTCCCCCCGTCTTTTCTCAAGTGTTTACTTTTTCTTGTGAAACACGGGCGAGTTTCACTGCTCAGCACTCACATGCAGCCCGTGATGAGAAATCAAGCAGCAGTTCCTTGGATATAAAACAATCACACACACCGCAAGCTTTGGACAACCGGTGCAATGTGTAGTGACATGAAGGAACCATCTTTCTTTTGGTACGTCACCATTTCAACATGTTCATAAGGTGATATGTAAGGGAGGAATAACAGCAGTGATAAAGAAGAGGAGTAAGAAGAGAGTTGTGGCTCGGGGCAGAGAGGTGGCTGGGGGGTACACAGATGCCCCTGCCCTGCTGGTCATGTTGGCAGTGGCAGTGCTGCCTGTGTGAGGCAGATGGGGGAGGCGAACATCCCAGCTCTCCCTGACAATCTGCTCCCTGCTCTCCCCTCACGTCTCCCTGCTGCCCTGCGCGGCCTCGCTCTCCACTGCGAGCTTTAATCCCACTCCTCCTTCGTTAGGAATCCCCCTCCTTACGTCCAGAATTAACCTGTCCTCCTTAACCCTCCTCTCCTTTCCTGCCTCTTACTTCTCCTTCATTCCATCTGAAGGCCTGCTGGGTGGTTAATCTCAGACCTGGAGGCTGTGTCCAGGACGATGGCTCCCCTCCCTGCCTGGTGTTCCTCCAGCCGATTGCCAAGCTGTCCTGACCAGCCACCCCCTCTCTCTCCTCCCACGTCACACATCACCACAGCAGGGCGCCACCACGTCACACAGCACACATACAGAAAGAGCCATGCTGTGAGCAAGGACACAAGCGATGTGCTGCACACAAAGTGCAGGAGATATCAGCTACACATGCAGTGGAGGACCTAAAGGTCAGAAACAGAGCCTGTTGTTCTGAAGCTGTAAATGTTTGATGAGGAAGTGTTAAGAATGTGTCGACTAAAGGCCGTTAGCTCCACACTAGCAAACTAATCTGAGTCACACTGTCAAAATGCCAGCCCTTACCCCATCGCAACCTCTGATTTTTGTGCAACAAAAGACTCTTTCTCCACAAACAGAATATACAGCTGTCTCTTTTGGAGAGTTGTTTGGCACCGACCGGCCTGCTCTGCAGTTCACTCCAGGTTTGTAAAGCAGGCATCAACAGCAAACGCTGCTGCACCTGGTCTGCTGCTGGAGATAAATGAGGCATCGTAGAGAGGATTTATTCACTTACTGATTCAGAGTTGGTGAAGTGAACCACGACTTGCTGACGAGGACATCCCGATGAAATAGGACCATAGTACCATCTCTGAGGAATCATACTGGGTATTTGTACTCTGATCTTATAATGACTTTAAAGGAGCATTCACAAATTTTGGCATTTACATTTAGAGGCATAGCCATACAGATTGTTTTGGTTTTGTTTGACCAGGTTTTCAGAAAAGGACCTCAACCTTTCCTGACACCACCTCAACAGGTGTTGAATAGTGTTTCACACATGCTTATAGTATTTTCAGTCTTCAAAGAGGCACTGCAGTGACTTAATGCGGCACCTCCATAAATCGGTCACAGCAACAGAGGCAGACCTTTAGTCCCATGTACAGTAGCTCTATCCTGTTTCCCATAAAACAACTCTGTAGTATTCTTCATTACTTTCCCTGCTGGGTCCACATCCATCACATTGGAGCAATGGGACCAACTGTACAAGGTTATCTTAGATACATTTCTGTAGTTAGTATAAACACTGGTGCAAACTGCCAGCAGGCTTTCAGATAGAGCAGTCACAGAAAATCAGCTGAACAGGCAGCCAGTAAATCAGTCAGTCAGGTCATGGCTGGACATGGTTAAAGTGGCCACAGGTTTATGTAATGCAGAGTAAAGCTTTGACCCTGGCACGCACACAAATAACCACACACTCGCAGTGTTTCTGGTCAACAGCCGCCAACCTCTGGCCTTCTTATACAACACACACGCTCTAATCCACCCCTCGCCTTGCCTCGGGGGGCGGGGTGGAATAAGGTAGCGCTCCTTCCAACAGCTAAAGCAGCAAATCCAATAACTGGCCTCTGTCAACTGGCACGCTCATTAATTAGGGCTTAATACGACTTAATGCTCGGGCACTGCCCTACACTCGCCCACACACACATGCAGAGCAGCCGCTGCCTGGAACTGGTGAGAAAGGAAGGAAGCTTGGACGGATTCATGCATGGACTGATGGCGAGACAGATAAATGGATGTTCGAGTCGGGAGGATCTACAGCTAGTGAAAAACAAGGGTTGACAGTTTGTGGTATTGTGTTCGAGGTGCGGCGTGGAGTGGAGGAGGGACAGAGAAAAAGAGGCTGAAGGCTTCAGCTCCAGCCATCACCTCCCTGCTGCTGGCCGGTTGTGCTTTGGTTGGGGGGGGCTGGGGAAACGGGGGCTCCCGGGGTGGTAGCGAGGGACATCCTCCCTCGCTGACCTGGTCAAAGGACACCACCTGCTGGATCCCAGTTTACTGACACACACGCACATGACAAACACCTACACTAAAATACTTCCACAATTATCCTCCAAAATCACTTGAAACAGTTTCCAGAGCAGTCGTGGTGGTGAGCGTGTACTTCGCTCTCCAGCAGACATAATAAAAGAAAGTTTTGCTGGAAGGCAGTTTGCAGTAATTTCCCCTGACAGCCCAATAATCAAACCCTTCTCACAATCTGCACCTCAACCCGCCGCACTCTCTATTGACTGCTGCTACTAAGGAGATTAATTACAATGCACACACACTGACACAGTTACCTCTCTGTGGT